ATTCTCATTAAACTCTAAATTGTATGTTAGCTCTGTATTGATGGGGTTATTAGATTCCAAGGTGCAAGAGTTAAATCTTTCTTCGCAAAGCATAAACCCTACAGTCAGTACACATATGATATAAAAGTCTCTAATCGATCATTAAAACAATAGCATTATTAGGTTAAGAGCTCGGCTGTTAATGAAAAGGTCAGCAGTTGGAATCCACCAGCCGCTCCTTGGGAACCCTGAGACAGTTCTACTCTGTCCTACAGGGTCACTATGAGTCGGAATTGACTCGACAGCAACGGGTTTGGTTTTTTATTATAAGAATAAAAATCAAGGTGAAATTAGTCCCCCTAAAGCCCCTTAGATTTAAGCAGGTGTTTTCAGGAGTCCTAGGCGTGACACTCATACAGATGGGTATGGCTGTATTGAACATCACAATGGAGATGTAATTAGGAAAGAAACTGTGTCCTTTTTTTTTTTTTGGTATTGTTGCTGTTTATTTTTTTAAAATGCTGGTAACTGAAAATGCCCTTTCCATTGCCATTTTAAGAATCCTTAAGGAGGCATTCTCATTATATGGTGCCAAGCAAAGTTATGTTAACTGGCTTGGCCGTGAGAAAGTGTGAAAACATTAATTTCTAAGCTTTCTGAGAAGAGCTCTCTTTTTGTGTGTATTATTATAACTTTACAACCCTCAATCCCGATGTAAACAGTCGGGATAACAGCGGTCTACCTGATCGATATGAAAGTTTTCGGTAGGCTAGTCTTTGTTATTAGATACAGACATTAAAATGTGTATCCTACATTACATTGACATTATTCTTCAAATGCAAGCAAGCTTTATTAGTTAGCTCTGCCACATCAATCTGCACAATACCCACTACATTTTGAAACTAACACCTCTAAATACACTGTAATTTATGAATTGTACTGACATTCAGAAATAAGAAATATGCAATGAAGTTTCAAAAACATTTGCCATCGTCTATTTCCTTGAATGTGAAAGAGAAAGAAATCAGAGAAGATAAAGAAGTTGTCAAACCTGAAATCTCCTGAAGAGAAGGGAAATATCACTGCCACCTCCCAACTCGAGAACTTAACTCTGTATACCAGCTCAGCCAGCACCGTGTCCCCAGCTTACTCCCACTTCTAGAAAAACAGACAGCCTTGGCTACCTTTCAGTAAACTGAACTGTCAAAAGTGGACCATAAGGCTGTAGTAACAGTGGTAATGACAAGTCTATTGTCCTCCAAACCACCTGTAAAAGGGATGCATAAGGAAATTACCGCTTTCTTAGAGGCCACACACACCTGGGATGTTTATTCATCATGCCACTCTGACCTGTAACCAGGGAGCAAAGTGCTGCTGTGGGAAAAGTCCTATTTCCAAGCTAACAATAATCCTTCCTTCTGGTAGACTGGGAGGAGCATGATACACTCTTCCTGGACAAGCAGTTTTTCCTTCTAGAACAAATGACAAACCAACAAAAAGGGGAAACATGTTGTTGTTTGTACCTTCTTCTACCAACCTAAAATCAAGCTCTGTCTGAGTAAACAGATACCAGAGGCTCTCGGCTCCCGGTCTAGCCACACTTCCCCAAGCCTGGTCAAATGTTTCATGGGTAGCCAGCTGAAGAGAGGCGCCACTTTCCGCTCCGTCATAGCCACTGCTGCTCAGCAGCGACCTCACTCACACACAACACCTCAAATGAACAAGGACAACTTCTACGAGACTACATTCCCAAACTTCTCCATCAAACCCCCAAACTCCAGCCGCCTCTTCTCTTACAAGCAGCTCGCAAGGCTCCTCCACTAGGAACCAAGGGTGGGCTATTTCCTTGCAAGAGGCAAGCGGGCCGTGCGGACCTGCCTCAATTTCCCGTCATACAAACAGGCATCTTTCCTTGACAAGTCAAGAGGAACTGCCGGTTTGTAAGGCGACTGGAGATATTTAAGAACACACATCTCCTGTTACTGCCCCCAAGGTGGAATCTTTGAGGGCACTTTTAATGGGACAGGTGTGGGCTGCCTTGAATGAGGAATATTCCAGAGAGGAAGGGGCTTTCCCCATCCCATGGAGAGTCCCAGGCCGCGCCCTGCACAGAGGAGGCACCCCCAGACCACAGCCGGGCGGGCCTGGAGGCCGAGGCGTACCCCCTGTCCTTCTCCTGTACCCCACCCCAGGCCAGGCGCCCCACGGATCCCAGCTCCGTCGCCTCCTCACCTGCCGCGGCTGCCCGCCCGGCTCGCACCTGAGAGGGAGGGGAGGGGCGGGGCCGGATCCGGGCCGCGGACGCCTCAGGCAGGCGGGCTCCGGGATCCGCCGCAGTGGCGTCTCCGGAGCTGAGGAGCACTGGGGGTCGGTCGCGACATCCTCACAGACGGCCCCAGGAAGTCGGCCCCCCCACCTATCCCCTGCGGACCCGGCCTCGTCTCTCCCGCCCCTCGCGCGGCCCCGCCCCCGGCACGGCCCCGCCCCCCTCGGGAGCGCGCCTCCGCTCCCGCCGCGCCCGGGCCACCATAGAGAGGAGCGAGGCGCGCTGCGGGCTAGAGCGCGCTCCCCCCCGCGCGCGCCCCCTGGCGGAGCCGAGGTTCCCGGAAACCCCGCCCAGCGGAATCGAAACTCCAGCGAGGCATGGGAATGCTCTTTTCGGCCATGGTCGTAGAACCGTGCTGGAGGAGCCGTGATCCGGCTTGGTGACTCGAGCGAGTCCCTTAACATCTTTGAATATGTCTGATAATAAAAGTTTGAAAGTTGCCTCACTTTCATATCTCATTGTTCCTGACGACAATGCTAGGAGCGGGTGATGGTTCCCCAATTTACAAATAAGGAAACCCAAGCCCTTCAGGGTTCAGTAACGTAAGACGTCACGGCTGGTATTAGAAGCCAGCTCTATATACGTCAAAACCCATGCTTGTCCCACTCTACAGCACCTCCGTCAACTAGTATTTCCCAGTCTAAACCCTGTATTTCCCAGTCTAAACCCCCAGGGTTAGCTAGTTTAACCTTACGAAGGTGAAGAAACAGCTAGGAGGAAGGCGGTGGTAGAATGGAAATGGCAGTGTGTCAGGAAGACCACCCTGGTCATTCATTAGCTGTGTGCCTTCCAGCAAGGTACATAACCTCTCTGAACTCCAGCTTCCTCATCCCTCAAAAGCAGGTTGGTATGAGGACTAAATGAGCTAGCGTACATACACGTGCTTAGTAAACTCTGAAGCGCCAGGGTAGCATGGAACATCACTAGCCTGGTGGGCTTGGGCTAAGAAGGTGCCGAGTCATGAAAATATGAATTCTCATTCTTCTAACTGGTGTCTAGTGACACTTAATTTTCTCATGCTTTAGGTTTCTATCAAGACCTCTCAGAGTTCTTCTGAGCAGTTTGTATTTTAAAATAAGGAAAAGCCAAGTAAAATATCATTTATACATCAGACTGTCGCTTTACAAGTATCATTTCCAATCCTCACAACCACCTAGCAAGCTGAGTACTATTATTCCCATTTTGTCAATAAGGATTTGCAGATTAAGTAATTTACCTAAAGCCCCACAGAGTTAGAAGGGGCTGAAATTCAAAACCGGTTCTTTCCACTATCAGGAATATAGGGAAAGACAGCCTCCAAGAGATAGAGGTCTCCTGCACCTGAATTAAATGTGCCCATCTTCTTCCTATCTGGCTATTTTTGTAACTCTCCTTGATGCAATTCCCTGTCCTCTCTGCTTCTCCCCAGGGCTTTATTTCCCCTCACAAAGACATTTATTGTCTCCTCTTTTCCTTCTCTGGTTCCTTTTCTCTTGAGATGCCAGGACTTTGTTCATTTTCTCATATTTCTGAAATGGACTTATGACCTGTGATTAAGGCACAGCATTCTCCACCACATCTCTCCTTCTCTCCGTGTTAATTATAGTCACAGAAGGTTAATCGGTCCGGAACAATGGTGGGGTGAGACCTTGAGCAGCCTTTTGTAAACCTGGTTTACAAACAGTGCTCAGCTCCAAAAGAGAGTGCACTTAATCCACTGATTGGGCCCAATAATTGGAGCCTGGACTCATGACATCCTATGGAAATCATTTTTTTCTGGGCCTTCTGGTCCATATTATAGCTAAATCATTGGAATGCTGCTAAAGAATGTTCACATCACTGAAGCTAGAAGGTCTCGGAACTGCATTTACCCACACTCCTTTCTCCACCTTTAGCATTATCACCATCACTATTTCTCATCTTTATCATGCCCTTCCACAGAGGCACTCAATAACGTACCCATTGTGCAAATAATCTGAAATCCTTTTCGTTGGGCAATAGTATTTAGTAGTAATAAAACACTACTTTGTCATACTTATGGAAGATGTTTACTTTGACCTATTTTTATTATTTTTACTCATTTGCTAAGTACTTTTCAATACATATGTATGAATCACATGCCTTTCCCCAAACAGTAAGTAGTGAAGAAATCAATCATATTATTTCTTCTATTAGCAGCAGCATGGCTTGTAAGTCCTAGTGCCCTGATTTGTTTTGGTTACTTCTGGCAACAAGACTGAAGGATTGATGGTGACTGGGCACCTACTACATGCCAGACTCTCTGTAAAATGCACTTTCCTTAAATTATCTGTTTCATTCCCCCTGAGACATATTGTACCAATAAGGAAAATGTAATTCCCCTGCAACATAGATTTTACCAAGGAGACAGACATACTTTGTCCAAGTGACCCAGCCAGAAAGGGCCTGGCAGCGTTTTGAACCCACATCTTTTCCTGATCCCAAAATTCTGAATCATCATTCCACTTGACAACCTCCCCTGATTTCTCTAGACCTGATAAAGCCAAAACCAAACCCACTGCTGTCGAGTCGATTCTGACTTATAGAAACCCTACAGGACAGAGTAGAACTGCCCTATAGGGTTTCGAAGGCTATAATCTTTACAGGGAACAGATCACCAGGTCTTTTCTCCCACAGAGCGGCTGGTGGATTCAAACTGCCGACCTTTCAGTTAGCAGCTGAGCACTTATCCACTGTGCCGCCAGGGCTCCTTAGGCCTGGTAAATTCTGTAAAATATGGGGTGTTCACTTCAGAGAGAGGCTGCATAACCCCAGAATGAAATAGTTAGAGATAAACACATACAGGACGCTAACTCTAATCTTTCTATAGGACAGTACTACAAGGGAGTTATTCTCTAAGAAATCAGTGCTAGGATTTTCCCCAAAGAGAGGGCCAGTATAGAACTCTACTCACCCCTGGTCACAGAACTGGCTACACAATTTGTAGGGCCCAGTGCAAAATGCAGGGTCTTTTGTTCAAAAAGCATTAAGAATGTCAAGACAGTGAAAGCAGAGCATTAAACTAAGTGCAGGGCCCTCTAAGCACAAGGCCCTTCCATCTGCACAGATCACACGACCATGAAGCTGGCCCTGCCAGGACAGAAGAAGGCTGACACCAGTATCTGCCAGGCATCGTACGCTTCACAGTAACAGGAAACTGAGTGCCTATTACATTCTTGGAAAAGTATTCAATGCTTTACATAAGCTATACAACCCTAAAACAACTCTGAGGCAGGTATGATTTTCCCCATGTTACAGTGGATGAAACTAAGGCAAAGTTTATTCATCCAATGTTGTACAGCAATGTCAGAGTGAAGACCAAATTAGTTGGGATATAAAACATCTTCCTCCTTGACTCTGTACCTCTTTCAGCACAGGCCCGTCTTCTGGCAAAATCCAGAAACTACAAAGGAGAGACCACAGAAGAGCTATGATTCAAGGGCTACTCAAACAAGTCAAATTTGCACAGGCTGACATGCGTGGTACAGCTCCAGGGTGTATGGACCTTCCATTTGCGGGGCGGAAGAACTCCAAGCATGGCAGATGGAACGGCCAATACCTGGACTCTTTCCAGGACTGACAGAAAAATCAATGAGGTCTTTAACTTGAAGAAGGTAACTACAGGTAACCTAAAGTATCTTAATGATAAAGTACTGCAAACAGCCCACTAAGTCAGGAACATGACAAGAACAATGGCTATTGTTGCTTCTATTCAGTAAAGTACTGGAAGTTAGTCTAACTAGTGTACTAGGACAAGAAAAAATGAAGAAAAGCATATTTTGGGGGGTAACTTTTCATGAATATACCTAGGTCAGTTTAAGCTTCACATACCACAGTCTTCTCTAATGCCCATCCCCAACACACAGCTGTACAGCTTTAACTCTACCCAGCATAACTCCATGCAAAAACCTAGCAAGACAGGCATCCAATTCCCTTATCTCCTCCTGGCTCACATCTCGGGGAAGCACAGATCCCTTTGTTTTTTATTCAGCTTTATTTCCCTCTAAACCTCCAGTTCTCTTTTATACTAATGATATCTCCCTTCTCCAAGTGTTTTTCATTCTTATAACTTCCCTGGGGGAAATCAGAAGGAGCTGATAAAGTATATCTCTGATCCAACTTTTTATGGGGAGCTAAGCTGAAAAGAGGTTGGGATGTGCAGCCTTTGCTGCTATCCAGGCAAATTATGAAAAAGAATTTTACTGAAACATTTACATATTCACAGCCAAAGGCAGCATGAGGATGGGAAGCACTAGGGCTTGAAATCAGATTTGAGACTGGATCTTGGTACCGCCACTTCTTGGGTTTGCGTCCTTATCTTCACTGAGCTCCCATTTACTGTCTATAAAATGGAATGATTCACAAGACCGTCCTAAGGTCTGAGAGGTATACGCGTAAGAGGGCCTCGATAAACTTGCCTTCAGGACTGTGGCAGACATTGGTAGTTTCCCACCCAGCGTCCAATTCCTCCACATACACTCCCTTCCTCCTTTCTAGCAGAAACCCCATTTTCTTCCAATGGCCACATCACATGCTTCAGGAAAGCCTGGCCCCAGCCCCAGCTCCAAGGCTACTTTCTCGTTGATCTGAGCCAATCACAGTCATTCCATTTCCCTTGCCAGTTACTACTGATTTAGACATGGATGCATGAAGGAATTTTGCACTGATGAGATATGAAGGACGCTTGCTTTCATTGGGGGGAAGTTCTGAGTCTTCCTTCTTCTTAAAGGGACACAACAAAGAGCTGATCCTCTTCTGTTTGTAAATAATTTTCATGTCTGTATTGATGCTAAGAAAGGCTGCAGCCAGGTTCTGACAAGGGTAACTATCTTGAAGATAAACCAATTTGAAAGGAGAACAGAGCAGAAAGACAGAAAGGCTCGAAGCCCCTTGACAATGAGCCACTGAATTCACCAGCCCTAGACTTCGTGTTATTGGAGGTAACAAATATTCCTCTTGTTTAAGCCTCTTTGAGTGAGGTTTTGTTACTTGCAACAGTGGTATCTGTACCTTTTGCCTGAGAATCTTTGGGTGTCCAAGTGCCTGACATATGGTCACCTGGGGAACCAAGTGCTAGCACATAGGAGGGACTCAACATTAATTTTGTCTGATGTCAAATGAAATACAAGCAATAGTGCTCTACAGAAAGATATTTAAAAGGAGACTCTGGGGGCTCAATGACTATCTAGATAAAGTGAAAAACATTCCTGCATTTCTCCCTTGCCATCTTTAAAATGCAATAAGAACTACGCATTCATATAGTTAACACTTACTGAGCTCCCAGAATGTGGAAAGAGCCAAACTGACGAGAGCCCTTATAGTGGTTCTTGCGCTAATGGGGAGATAGAAATGTGTACAGTAAGTACAAATGAGTGTTACAGGGGGTTTATTATAAACATCTACAGTTGAGGCACAAAAAAGAGGATGTCAGGATGGGTGTGTACCAGACACACTGGCGGTAGGTGGAGGCAGACCCATAAGCAAAGGGAGCAAAAGGCACGTGGGCAGGAGAGCCACCCTGGTTCATGCTGTCTGGGGGAACAACACAGCGTGGCATGCCCAGAATGGAGAGTACAGTGGCAGTACATGAGAAAAGAGGGAGCCCTGGCCTAAGAGCAAGGTCCAAAGGAGGAATCAAGGTGTAGGGGGCATGATCCTGTAGGTATGTTGCATGGACTGGGAAAGTAGTGAATGGAGCGCCCTCCCATGATTAGAGTGGCCACCTGGATGAGGGCTGTGGCACCTTCAGCTGAAGTGAGTCCCCCAGTAGGGGCAGAACTATGCAGATTGGCAAAATAAACGCAGCCTGGGGATGGAAAAGGTCCTGACCTAGGAGTCAGGGGTTCTGGGTTCCAATCCCCATTCTGCCACTGGAACCATCATGTCCCCTTTTTGGATTCAGTTTCCTCCTCTGTTAAATGACAGGATGGACCAGGTGATTTTTACGGACCTCTCAAACTCTGATATGATAGGGTTCTGAGTCAGGTACAAAGCACCTGTGCTCCCCACATACAGGAAACACAGTAGATCTGCCCAAGGCAGAGATGGCAACCAAGCTCCATACTGAGTGCCAAATCCAACTGATTGGTACAGGCTATCTGGAACGCTGTATCAAGAAAGGCTCTGAGGCTGCAAAAGACTCCGAGCCCTGCAAAGAAGAAAGCTGGGATTGATTGGTAATGCCTACCATGGGTCAAGAAGCTAAAATGGTACCATGACTGGCAAAGATTTGCCATTCCTAGGTTAATGTATAAGCTTCCTACTGTGGCAGCAGGAATGTGCCAATATCCATCCATCTGGGTAAAATCCCCAAAGCTGGAATAAGGCTAACCAAACCCAATGTCGTCAAAGCAATTCCGACTCATAGCGACCCTACAGGACAGGGTAGAACTGCTCCATAGGGCTTTACAGAAGCAGACTGCCACATCTTTCTCCCACATAGTGGCTGGTAGGTTCGAACTGCCAACCTTCTGGTTAGCAGCAAAGCACTTTAACCACTGCACTACCAGGGCTCCTTGGAAAAAAGCTCTAAAGATTAATTTCTCCTGGAGGCTCTGTGAAAGCAAGTATCAGGGCTCCTCCAGTCTTGGCCTCACTGACCCTGTCCTCACTCAGACACCTTACAGCCAATTCCTCATTCATTCCCAATTCTCCATCATCATCTCTAAATGTCATCTCTTTGGCCTGTGACTCGGACCCCCTTTCCTGTGGCCAAGACACAACTAATTAATTGCATGACAGGCTTTCTAACCAAGAAAGACGACTTTCCTTTAAAAATGTGGTCAGTAAACAATCCTGATCACTTCTCAACTTTGCCTTTTATTTTCCCTTCCCTGGTATCAACCTCTGCTTCCAGCCAGGGTTACTTATGACTCTCAGACGGATGGCCACAGTGCTGGTAACAGACGGGGGTTATTTTATACACTAGGGCGCTAGGCTGTGGTGCAGCTGGCAGGAAGAGAGGTGTAATTATATTGCATCTTGGAGCCACCAGCAATGAATTTCTGCATAAAGGACTAGATTTGCTAGGTATTATTTACACCAGCATCAATTTTCCCAGCTGGCTCTATTTACTGTGCAAATTTTCCTCCGTCTGTTTATGGCCAAGGCCATGGTTCAACACCTCTGGTTACTCTATACTGTGGAGGGGCCCCACAGGGCACCATGCATATTAAACAAGTAGCTGGATTCATCACGAGCAGGGCACATCCTCCCTTCCTGTTAAATTATATCCCTGGGACTGCAGCGAGCTCACGTTCTCACCTAGTCAGGGTGATGCATGCAGATGCCTGAAACCAAAGCAGCAAGGGGAGAGGAAGAACGACCGTTCTTTGGGGCCTTGCTGGGGAAAACTGAAAACCATCTGCGGGAAATGAGATGGTTCTGGGGCTCAGGGAAATTCCTTTTTCTGTTTTTAAGAGCAGAACATATGAAGAAGAGTTTTGCATTCATGAGGCTATTTCCACCCAGTAATTCAGAGACAGAGCTAAGGGAAAGGGAGACCCAACTTACAGACAGAAAGAAGACAGAGGCAAAAACGGCAAAGAAGAGAAGCTAAGGCAGGCTAGAGGCCTCATGGCTCAATCACTGTGCCAGTGAGATCGGATGGTGACGCACAGCATCGTCAATTGTCACTCGCATGTCAGAGATGCCCAAGCTAGGGTACGCTCAGCTCCCACTGGAATCATACACGGTAGAAACAAGAGAAGAAAACCAGGCACCAGCATGCATTTCTGGGTCCTTCCACTGCAGCATCCTCTCTCGCCTGTGGCTCGATATGCTCCCACAAAGGGGAAAGCTAAAGAATCCGCTATGTCTCTTCCCCTCTTACTGGGGGTGGGTGTCCAAGAATCCTCTGCCCAGCCTGACAGTCGCTGCTGCTGCTGCTGCAGTCTAAAGTGCCAGGCAGCGGGGAACACAGGCATTCATGGGCAGGGAAGGTGGCGGGCCTCGATGCCGCTCGCTTTCCCAACCAACAGCACCAGTCATGTCTGATACGCCTCTAGCACTGGGCGCTGCTCTGGAGTGCCCCAAATCCCGATGTCTATCATCTCCTGGATTCCTGTTGGCTGAAAGAAGAGACAAGAGGGAAAGGTAAGCTTTGTCTTGTTTTTTGTTTGGCTGGATAATTTTTTTAAATTGTGGTAAATATATATGTAACAAAACATTTGACATTTCAACAGTCTTCACATGTATAGCGACGTTAATTAGGTTCGACAGGTTTTTCAATCATCACTTTTATCTGTTCCCAAATTATACCATTACCCTTAACAGAGACTCAGTGTCCCCTAAGGAAAGGTAAGGTTTTGAGTTTTACGACCCAAGGGGTAGCCTCTTTAGTTGCAAGGTTACAACATCCAAGAACTTCTCTATAAGCACCTGTGCTCGTAGAAACCACCCTCCACTGCCTGGGCTATCAGCTTCCCCCAGGGGCTGGCTCACCTGGCGAGAAGACTTGGTCAGGCACACCATGCGCTCACTGCCTGAGGTACCTGCTCCCTCACCCACACTCAGGAGAATCCGAGTGCTGGGCACAAAGCTCCAGGAGCGTCCGAGGGCAGGTTTGAGCCTCCCGCTGTCCCTGTCTCGGGTCACATGGTTGGTCACCTGCAGCAGAAAGAATCAGACTCACAGAACCATAATGCTAGTATAGAGGACATCTGTTCCTATTGCTTCATTTTACAGATGGGAAAACTGAGGTCTAGAGCAGAGAAATAACTTCCTCAAGACTCTATAACTTATCAGTGGAAACAGACGCAGGGCTCCCGACCTGTGTCCAGCTCGCTCCAGTAAACCATAAGGAGCACTATCTGCACTTTCCTAAGGGGAAGCCAGTGGTGGGTTTGAGCCTACTACACCCCCAATCTAACAGACGAGCATCTTGATACCATGCCCAGCCAGTCCTTTGTGTCTGGAAGTGCATGTGTGTATGTGTGGGGGAGGGAGGGTTCAGGGGATCCTAATCTGGTCAGTCAGCTCTATTCTGCCCAGGACTAGTTATAGAGGTAAGCAACTTGAGCCCCAGAGAACTCTCTCGATGAGCCCCCGAGGGCAGGGGCTGTGGCTGGTTCATCAGTGAATCCCACCACCTAACCCAGAGCCTGGCACACAGTAGGTGCTCACATACATTCTGAAGATGGGAGGGGGAAGCCTTGGGATCTTGTAAGAGAAAAGGACAGGAAAACAGATCCTCTTACATTTCTGGTAGGCACACAAATGAGTATAACCTTTCTGGAAATTTGGCAGTGTATATCTAGACATTTAAAGATATGTGTATCCCTGGCCCAATATGCTTTCTTGAATTTATTTTGAGGAAATAATATAAGATGTGAAAGAGATTTAAGTATAAGGATACTCACTATAGCTTTATTTACAATACAGAAAAACAGGTCATGACATAAAGGTCCACTGATCAGGAAATGGTTAGATTATTATGGTACAGTGGGGGTAGCAAACTATGGCCCACAGGACAAATTTGGCCTGACAACTGTTTTTGCTAATAAAGTTTTATTAGAACATAGCCATGACCATTTGTTTATGTACTGTCTATGGTTGCTTTCATGCTACAATGGCAGAATCAAGTAGTTACCACACAGACCATATTGCCATAAAGCCTCAAATATTTCCTGGCTCTTTACAGAAAAAGTCTGCTGACCTCTGTGATATAGGCACTGAACAAAATAATAGGCAGCTGCTAAAAAAGACATTCTTAAAGACTCTACTGGAAATAAATTGAGAGTTTTTTTTTTTAACAAGTTTACAGTTTAGTTAGAAAGTTGATTGAAAATATACATATATGTGCAAAGAAAAATATTCTCTGGAGATATATCAAAATATTAATATAGTTTCAGTGGGTGTGGAGATTGAGTACAGATTTTAATCTTATATTTTTTACCCTTTCTATGAGAAGCATGCACTTTAAAAAAATTATTTCATAAGCAGAAAAAGTTACTTTAAAAATAAAAAGATCCATTCATATGAAACACTGGAAAAGGCAAAACTATTGAGACAAAAGAGATCAGTGGTTGTCTGGGATTTGGAGAACTTTCTGGAATGATAGAAATATTCTATATATTTGATTGTGGTGGTGGTAGCAAGACTGTATATGATTATATCCATCAGTCAAACTTCAAACACAGAGAAATTCTCTCTATGTAAATTATACCTCAATAAACCTGACTTAAAAAAAAACTGAAATGAAAAGCAAGACTGTCTTTGATCCCCTTGGCTATGATCCAAACTCCTCACTGTCCAGAGCCCTAGATGACCCAAGGAAGCTGGGCTATGTCCCTCTCCTAAAGGGCATTTTGGGGGTTCAGAAGCCATTTAATGGAAATAAAGTGCTACAACTAGAAATCAAGTTTGCCTCCTCCCTCTTGTCCCTCCGCAAAGCCAAGCATCAGGGAGGAGACTGGGCACAGTTGGCCAAGTCCACATCCTCACCACCACTGCCACGCTGAGTTCCCGGGCCAGGGTCTTCAGCTCTCGGGCCAGCTGCATCATCAAGGCCAGGCCTGGAGGAGGAGAAGCAGAGGGGCAGGGCAGCAAGAGATCAGGGACAGGCTGGCTGGAGACTGGACTCCAGAGCTGGAAGGCAAGACCACATTCCCCTGACCCTGGGTTTTGCTACACCACTCACCTTCCCTCTGCTGACCTCCCAGAAGCGGGGAGACCACCGCAGTGACCGAATCTACCACCACCACCTTCACGGTCCCTGAAGAACTGATCACCTGGGGGGAAGCAAGCACCAGGAGCCAGCTGGCCTCTAGGGGGCACCGTTAACAGGACAAGCTAGCTGCTCTACCGGAAACTAGTAAGAAACTCCCTACTCCTCAAATACAAGGAGGCCTGGTGGCACAACAGTTAAGCTCTTGGCTACTAACCAAAAGGTTGGCAGTTTGAACCCACCCAGCAGCTCTGTGGGAGAAAGACCTGGTGATCTGCTCCCCCAAAGATTTCAGTCTAAGAAACCCTACGGGGCAGTTCTACTCTGTCCTATAGCGTCACCATGAGTCTCGACTCAATGACACCTAACAACAACCCCAAATACAGCTGCATAAGTATCAAGAAATTTCAGCAATGTCTTTTTTTCCCATTTGGATGTACAGCAGACATGGGTGGATAGAGAGGGGTTGGATCACAGGACCACACTGCAAATACACTAAAATAATTGTATTTTAGAAATCTCCAATTATCAGAGTCCTTTGGCCTCCTGTCATGAACCTTATTCCTTATATCCAAGTCATTTGCTGATTCTGTTTCCACAACTTTGTTTTTTTCACTTCACGTCGGCCAATTCTTGAATATTCATGATGATCTGATCTGTGTTTTGCATGTCTTCCCTCATCTTCCAGCTACTGACCCTTGGCCAGTCACCAGCCTGTCTAAGAGAAGACGGTGGAAAAGAGAGAAGCTAAAACTAAAATCAGCTTAAACCCTCCTTACTATCTCTGGGAGAGCAGGGTGAAATCACCAGTTAAAATGTGACAGCAAGCCCTTTGCTGCTTGTGACTATGGAGCTATCAGGTCATCTGTGGTGAGCCTCGGTGACACCTAATGACCCCCAACTTCTGGTATTCACATGCTTGTATACTCCCTTGCCCTTAAGTGTGGGCGGGACCTGTGACTTGCTTCTGACCAAAACGATATGTCGAAGGTGTTGGAATGTCACTCTCTTCATTAGGTTAAGTTATATGGCAATGGTGATGGAATGTCACTCCCATGATTACATTATAAAAGACTCCATCTTGCTAGAAAACTTGCTCTCACTCTCCTGCTGGTCTTGAAGAAGAAAAGTGGTCATGTTGTGAACTGCCTATGGAAAGCACCATGTGGCAGGGAACAGTTGGAGGCCTCAAGGAGTTGAAGGTGGCTCCCAGCCAACCACCAGCAAGAAACTGAAGCCCTCAACCACTATCAACAGATGGTCCCGGATAGAATGGGGGAAAATTGTAGAACAAAACTCAAATTCTTAAAAAAAGTCAGACTTACTGGGCCAGTAGAGACTAGAGGAACCTTCAAGACTATCGCCCTGAGATAGTCTTTAAACTTTGAACTGAAACCACTCCCAGAGGTCACCTTTCAGCTAAGTAACAGACTGGCTCATAAAATAAAAAATATCACCCGTGAGTATTGTGATCCTTTAAAAAATCATCTATATGAGACCAAACAGTCAACATTTACCCTAAAGCAAAGATTAGAAGGTTGTGAAGCTAGATTAATGGAAACAGAACCAGAACAGAAATAAATGAGAAAGTTGACACAATGTGGAAAATGTAATTAATGTCACTGAACAGTATGTATAGAAACTATTAAATGGGATCTAATTTGCTGTGTAAACTTTTACTAAAAACACAATAAAATATGGAAAAAAAAAAAGAAAAAGAAACTGAAGCCCTCAATTCTATGGCCACAAGGAAATGAATTCTGCCAACCACATGAGTAAACTTATAAGTGGCTTCTTCCCAGGCAGTCCTTCAAATGAAAGTACAACCCAGTCAACACCTTGCTTGCAGCCTTGTGAGGCCCTAAGCAGAGGACACAGCTAAGTGTCTGGTCTCCTGACCCACAGAAACTGTGAGATAATAAATACGACTTGTTTTAAGCCACGGAGTTTTGTGGTCTATACGTTAATACAAAATATACCATCTAATTATCCTACAGTTTAAAAAAAAAAGTCTTCTGACCTGGGAGTTGAGAGATTTGAATTGTTTAGTTCTTGTCCTAAATATGTGATGACTTCGGGCAACTCACTTTATCTCTCTGGCCCCTACTCTCCTCATCTCTAAAAACAAGGGGTTAGATTAGATCAGCACTACTCAACTTCATGTGTCAACACACTGGTGGGTCATAACCAGCTGTGACTCCCATGGCAAGTAATTTGATAAACTATTATTAGTCATGAAGTTTGCAAAATGATTTACTTTATGTACAATCCTGGGTATGCCCATGGGAACATGGTGTGCTTTGGAATGAGAGAAGTTTGAGATAAACTATTCTCTCTAAGGCATCTTCCAAATCTAATAGTCTATAAACCAGTGCACCAAACCCTGTTTAAGCACCTAGCAGGTATAGATGGGTGCCAATCCAAATGCTATTCCAAACTCCCCTTCCTTGTAACAGGACTCTGAATATGTTCAGGTACTAGGCGGAAATCTTCTGACTTCAGAGAAGGTAGACCTGGCCCCTAGTCCAAGACACACATGTAACTCAGTTTTGACCAACCAGATGTAAGGGGAAAAGGGATGCCTATTAGTGGGTTCTGAAGAAAGAGTTCCCTGATAAAAGGGAAAGGTACAGAAAAGAGCCATCTCTTTGTCACTGCCCTGAAACTAGATATAGATATGTGAAGACATAAAGCCTGGAGCCACAGCAGCCACTTTTGAATCATGAGGGCAAAAGCAAGAGGATCAGACACACCAATCTAGTGCCCTTATATCATGGACCTGCCAACCTCCAGGCTCATGTGAGATAATTAAATATCCTCAAAGTTCAAGCCTCTGTCAGACAGCCTCTGTTTTTTCAGTTGAAATATTCCTAACTGATTCAGCAGAGATACAGCACAAATGCAGAGATGAATAATACATGATCCAGGCCTTCAAGGGGTTTACTGTTTAGAGGGAAGACGGACATTTAAACAATGAGGCATGTGAATTAAGCACTCAGGAGCTCTATCCTGGAAGTGGCGAGCACAGCTGGAGTCACAGATTTTACATCTGCATTTCCAGAGTATGTAGTAGGACACCTGCCTGCACACAGATAGCACCTGGCAAGCTGGGTAAAGAGGGAGGGGCAGAACAGCAGGCTCACCTGCTGGGCCACAGTGCCTCGGAGGTCCTGCAGCACATCCAGCATCCGGAAGACGTCGAATGCATGCACCACCTGGATCCTCTGGAGTGCTCCTGCCTGAAGGAGTGGGGAAGAGAAGCAAGGACTTTGGATAAAAAAGAATAAGGTATCAGGGAAGGAGATGAAGAGGAATTGTAAGGCTGAGAAAGAAGAAGCAACTAGAAGCAAGGACTTAGGTCTAAGACGCCAAATGGGCTTTGTCTAACAGGCTAGTTCTCACGGCAGTGGCTGCCTGGGTACTGAGCTGTAAAGTTAAGTCAGAGACTAGTGGGAAAGAGTGATTTGATTAGTGATATCTACCATGGGCAAGAAATGGGCTGGAAACACAGACGTTGGGTATTTGCCAGCCCTGGTTTAGGTTATGTAAAGAGCTGGGAGGTTTCCTAGAAGAACTCCTGTGGGCAGCATCCAAGCTGGGATGACGGCATTAACAGGTGAGGCTTAAAGAATACAGAAAGTAAATTATAAAGCAAGAAGTGACTATCACCCAAATGGCCAGGATTCTTGCAATGTAAGGGAGAACAGGGTCTTTCTGTGCCAGAAAGGAGCCCTGGTGGCACAGTGGTGAAGCACTTGGCTGCTACCCTAAAGGTAAGTGGTCTGAACCCACCAGGTGCTCCATGAGAGAAAGATGTAGCAGTCTGCTTCTGTAAAGATTTATAGCTTTGGAAATCCTATGAGGCAGTTCTACCCTGTCCTATAGGGTCGCTATGAGCCAGAATTGACTCAATGGCATGGTTTTGGTTTTTTGGTTTTCTGTGCCAGAAGTCCTCCAGAACCCAACCCTCCTGCCCCTTGCCTGTTCCTCCTCATCCTGGGTTCTGGCCTGAAGCAGCTGGAGGAGGCGGGAGGCTGTCAGTCCTCCACTGGAATCGATGTATAAGACATTCTGTTGCAAGCTGTGGGCCACATTTGCAGCCACACAAAGACATACCTGTGTAGAGACCAGGGGGACCGGGTGAACTTGAGCCCTCAGAGAAGGCTCAGAATGGGGGATCCTCACCAAATCTTGCACAGATCCTAGCAACACAAACAGGCCAACTCCCAGTCCACACTCTCACCCCCATGGTCTCTCTACTAGCTCTGTACCCATGAGCATGCGGGAAGAAGCCCCCCCTAGGGGTCCAGGGCTATGCATCCACCACCCCATCCTCCCTGGCTGCTGGCCTCACGTGTACCTGGGTTTTGCCGCTACCTGGGCTTCCTACGATTTCAGTCACTTCTCCAGTATAGAGACCAGTATCAAGCAGTTTGTCCAGTCTGATGGCAGAAAAGAAGAGAAGACAATCAACCCAGGGGTGTTGGAGGAAGAAGAAGGGGCTAGGTTTTGGGAAGAAACACAAGATATCCTTTCTAAGCGCTGGTCAGTCCAGAGGTGTTCCAAACGTCTCTGACCAGGGGGCTTCTCATGGTGGAGTTTCTTCTGGGAAGGAGGGCACAGCTAAATGTACCTCCTCCAGCCCCTCCTCATCCTTCCCCTCTAAGGTTAAATATCACTTCTCCAGAGAGGCCTTTGCCTCCCCATCAAGGTCCTCCTTCCATACGCCATCTCAGCCCCACGTACATCTCCTTGATAGCATTTCCCGTGATTTATATTTATATATATTTTTTAAATTTTATTTTATTTTTTTATTGTACTTCAGGTGAAGGCTTACAGAACAAATAGTTTCTCACGAAACAGAAGTATACATGTTGTTTTATAACACTGGTTAACAACCCCACAACGTATCAACCCTCTAACTTCTCAACCTTTTTTGGTGAAAATACACATAGCCAAAGATACACCATTTCAAAAATTTCTACATGCACAGTTCAGTGACACTGACTACG